TATAACCTTAGAAACCCATTGGAGAACCAGCTGTGAGTCAGATCTGACTCCCTGAGAATGAGAGTGACACTATTGTTACGGAGGATCTATTTCTCTGTTCAAATAATTAAAGTTTTAGTTTTATCTTGAAGCATGATCATTGTGCATATGGATATTAATTATAGTTATGTTGTCATGTTCACTTCACCCTGACCCTGACCAGTTCTATCACATCTCTCCTTGTTTCTTTTGCCGGTTTTTGCCTTCTTCTTGTTGTTATTATGTGCTGTCGAGTCACTTGTGACTCAAAGTGACCCTATGTACAAGAGCACTAAACCCTGCTCTATCCTGTGTCAACCTTATTGTCTCCAACACACCTACTCCCACTATCCCAATCACTGAATTATCCATCTCATTGAGGGTCTTCCTCTCCTGTTCTGTCCCTTTCCCTCTCCCAAACATGATGTCCCTCTCCAAGGAGTGCTCCCTCCTTGGAAAATGCCCAAGGTGTGTCAGACGAAGCTTCAGAATCCTTGCCTCCAAAGAGAAGCCTAGCTTCACCCTTTTCAGGACAAACTTGTTTATTCTCTTAGCAGTCCATGGTATATTCAACACTCTTCTCCAGCACCACAGCTCAAAAGGTATCATTGTCTTTCTGTCATCCCTAGTCACTGTCTAGCTCTCCAAAGCATAGCACAAAATTGTGAAGACTACAGCCTGGATCAGGCACACCTTAGTCTCCAGCCTGATGTCATTGCTCTTCAGTACTCTGGAGAGGTCCCTGGCAGCTGACTTTCCCAGTGCAATTCATCTCTTGATTTCCTGGCTGCTGGTACCAAGAGTGTTGACTATGGAGCCAAGCAAACTAAAGCTGTTAACTATCTCAATCTCTTCACCATTCATACTGATGCCTAACAATATATGTTATTAGAAATCAACATTGCCATTTCTACTCCTTTTTTCACTTGCCATTTGTGTGTTATTTTTTTTTCTATCCTTTGATTTTTAATCTATTTCAGCATGTGTCTAAGGAGTGTCTCTTATAGAGAGCATATTGATGGATTCTTATCCATTATAATAAATACTCTTTTTTCTCTTGATTGATGAGTCCATTCATTATCAGTGTAATTATCAATCTCAACTGAAAAAAAAAAACCCTTCTTATTGCTAAGTTATTCATAGCTAAACTTCTGTTGTGTTTCTGAGGCTATAAATTGCACAGAAGATGGTTTCTTTTTCTTCAGTGAGATATGGTATTGTTACTGTCATTTTGTATACATTTTTTATTCGTGTATGGTGTTGCTGATTTCTTTGTTCTACTTTTCTAAGTTAATTTTCATTATAACTTAATGTCTTATATCTTACATTGCTATTGTTTTAGTGTTTACTATGTCTTTATGATTTCTGTTTGTTTTGTCTCTTCCTGTTCTGGAATTCCAGTCATGGATATTTCTCTTTAAGACATTCCACATAATCCGTATGCTTTCTTCCCCCCTTCTTTATTTTTTTTTATATCCCCTGATAGATTACTATTAAGGAATTTGTCTTCCATCTCACTGTGTTCCATTGATTCAGTTTTGCTTGCTTGTCTTTCCAATGTGTTATTCATTCCTGATGTTTTAGTGTTAATATTATCAGTGTCAATTTGTGGTTTTATTTTGGCTTCTAATGTTTCACTTATTTTATATATTTGGTCTTATAGTGTTATTTTGGGGAGTTCTGGTGGCCTAGTAGTAAGAAGCTGCACTGCAATCCCGAAAGGCATGCAGTTTGAATCCACCAGCTGCTCCACAAGAGACAGATGAGCAGTCTCCTTCCATACCATTAACTGCCTCTGAAAACCCACCCAAGGGTCAGCGATGGGTCTATTCCAATTCCACAGTACACAACAGTAATTGTTATTTTTAAAATTTTATGTTTTCTGTCATTTTCTCAACCTTTCACTCAAGACTGATGAAGACAATTATCCTTTTGTTGAACTCTTCATTAAGAAGTTCTATTAGCATTTTTTTCTTCTGATAGGATTCTGGTTCTGTATTTTGGTCACTTGTATGTGCCATCTTTTTGCACTCTAACACAATATAGGGGTGATATGTGTATGCGTGTGTGTATGTGTGTATATGTATTACTATATATCTATTACATA